TCTTGTTCCCACTGTCTTTTCCTACTTCACAGAACTGGAAAACTGCTTTTCCCACTTTAGGTGTTATTCAGTCCTAACCTGTGTGGTTTTTATAATCTCAGAAACAATTCTAATTTATGAATGGGAAAAGTGAGTAAGGTACTAGTGCATTTATAGAGCCCGGTGATGACCCAGCGTTTAAGGCCCCAGACTTCCTTCCAAGGGCTGCACCGGTAATGGGAGCCCAGTGCAAGTATCTCCAGGGGGGGCAGCAGTTTAAGGAATCCACAATTTTAGTTGTTCTTCATGGGGCTGCTAAAGAATCGAGTCCTGGACAACTGGCACATGCAGACTCACCTGTCCTATTTTCTTTAATCTTGACCTGGGAAGAGACATCCATACTATCCCAGAGGTTTTCTGCACAGGGTGTACCCACTAGTTTTCAAATAATACAGAGAATTGTGACTAAAGGATTGTGTATTGAAAAGTAATATAAAAATAAGCCTTGGTAAGACCTTGCGAGAAGTGGTCTTAGAGTTTGCCTTTGCTTAACTTGATCTTGGCTGCCAACCCACTTCATAAAAGCTTTCAAATACATAATTGAAGGTGGCCAAAACTCCATTCCCTCACCGTCCAGCATGTCTTTTTAAAATATTATAAGGAACACAATACTGTACTCAGTATTTCGGGGTGGGGGAGAAGACTGCTAGTTAAAGTCACCAAAAGAATGCATAAAAGGCAGAAGTAAATAAAGAAGACTAAGAATTCCTCTTTTAATTAAAGAACTTTAAAAACAACTGGGCTGAAAACTACTTCGGCGATTACAGTGTCACGTTTGGCCCCACGACATTTCAGAGGCACGGCATAAATGTGGGGTCACTGCTGCGCTTTTTCGCAGCAGTGCTTCTCAGCCAGGGCGCGCGGGAATTCGTCCTACCGCTGGTTGCAGATGACACTTTGGTTTGCTTTACTGGCGACATTTTGGCGACGCATCCTATGCTAAGAGGAAGGCTGGAAACCAAGCGTGTGACAAGAGCCAAATCCAGCACGTTACTTCTTTTCGTGCTTCTTAGTTAACTCGCCCACGCCCAGCTGGACCCGGCCCCGGCCGCCGCCGCCGCCGCGGGCTGCCTCCTCCCGCCGGCTCTCCCGGGACACCTGCCGCACAGCGCGCAGGATGGCAGTCTGCACAATCTGTTTGCTGGCCTTCTGCAGTTTCACCTCTTCCGGCACATTTCCAGGTTTCTCACCTACCCAAAAACATGAAAGGAAGGAGAAATTAATTTCAGGAACCATGACAGGGATGGGTAGGGGTGAAAGGCTGTGAGAACATGCAAGATCCGCCCAGTTACCTATGAGGAGGCGCTGAACTAGAACACACAGGTGCCCTGTGTGTCCACTGGGGACAGTCCCAGGTTATCCCGTGGATACTGAAATCCACAGATGCTCAAGTCTCTGATCTAAAATGCCCTAGTGTTTGCATAGACCTTACATATATCTTGTATAGCTAAACCATCTCCAGATTATGTACAATACCTAATACAAGATAAATGCTCTGTAAATGTTACTGATTTTAAATTTATATATTTTTTACTCCCGTATTATTTCTTATTATGTCATTTTCAATATTTTCCATCCATGGCTGATTGAATCCTGGGGTGTGGATATAGCAGACATAAAATGGCCCCTACCGTACCTCTGTCTCCCCTTCTCTTTCCAACACAATCTCCATTTTTTAAATTTCTTATAGCATAAATGAGTACATTAATGCAATCATGGGGTACAGTGTGCTTTTTCATATAAATTTTGAAATACTCTTATCAAACTGGTTAACATAACCTTTGTGTCATTTTCTTAGTTATTGAGTTAAGACATTCATGCTCTGCTTTTAGAAAGATTCACTTGTACTCTTGTAAGATAAACCATAGAGGTGACCCCACCAATCACCCTCCCTCCCCCAATCCACCCCTCTCACCTCCCCTCTCCTACACCCTTCCCATATTCTAAGGCTATCATTAGATTATGACATTCCTATAAAAGCTATGAATTAGTTTCAAAATATGGCTGTATACATTGGATACTTTTTCTTCCATTCTTGAGATACTTTGCTAAGAAGAACATTTTCTAATTCCATCCATATAAACATAAAGGAGGTAAAGTCTCCATCTTTCTTTAGGGCTAAATAATATTCCATGGTGTCCATATACCACAGTTTATTGATCCGTTCATGGGTTGATGGGCATTTGGGCTTCTTCCATGACCTAGAAATTATGAATTGGGCTGCAATATACATTCTGATACAAATATCTTTGTTGTAATTCGATTTTTAGTCTTCCACATATATACCTAATAAAGGAATTGTAGGATCAAATGGTAGGTCTATTTTTAGTTCT